TGGCAAAACTTGTACCGTCGCCCGGGGCAAATGTGACGCTGCCACAGAGCTGGCTGTGCTATGCAGACGGGGCTGGGCGCCGAGTCGGCCCAGCGCGAACGGACCGGAAGATGTGGGCGTCCCGGCGCAGGCGAGGCCGGCTCCATGACGCTGCTCTCGAGGCGGGGGGATATCCCGGCCCGGCCCGGCACGAGACGCAGAGACAGGCGGCGTCGAGTCTGGCGGCGCTGCGCCGGGCCTGATGGTACCGCCCGGCGGGCAGCACTCGCGTCCGCAGCGGCGGGCGTAGAGCCGAGATAGGCTGTGGCAGGGAGCTAGAATCGGTTTTGAACTAGGGTGGGAGTAAAAATTTCATCGCAAAAATGCCGAGCGGGAGTGAAAAAAATATATTCACAAAAGATGGAACTTGTGAGCTCGTGACTGATGCTTCAGCAAACAAAGACACCTATTTCAAGTTGGCATGGGCGTAGTATCAGAAACCTGACAAAACTGTTTTGTTTTTAACATCTTAGGCCATTTAAGTGAAACAGAATACATTAAAGCATAGTAATTTCACGACAGTGTAATGAGCAAACAAAATTATGAACACCAACAATTTGACGCTGCACTTTGCACTTCTCTTCTACAGCATTCTTTACACAAAACAAAGCAAAGGAATTCAATAACAAAAAAACAACAGAAATTTCAACAAGCACAAAACGCTAAAAAAAACCTTGGACTCCTACACATCAGTCCATCACCAAGTCAAACACAATAGACATACCTTTGGCTTCTGTTAAGATGGGGTGATGGAAAAAAAACATTTGTCATTGTTTCTTACAAAATACCAATGCTTATTTCCATGAAAGTAGCCTAACCATGTCTAACCTAAAGAGGCCTTACTTCGCATCATCCTGCCTAACCTGTTTGTATCACAGCAGCAGTTGTGAGTTACCGATTCTTGCGCAATTCCTATTGCCACTTGTCATGCATTTAACCAACTTAACCTAACTGAGAGTAGCCCATATGTTGAACATCATCTCAACTCAGCTATCTGATGACAGCAGCACTTGTGATAAAACATGATAAAGCTAATTTTTGACTGGTTTCAACTTGCATTTCTTTTTTTTTGTTCATTTGTGTATGCTTGTTGACATCAGACAAAGTTGACAACACACAAACCAAAACACTTTAAATCACTTTGAACAATTTATTTTGATTGTCATGGTTAACCTATGACAAGGGCAATAATGTGTATGCTCCACAAAAATCTCTCTTCTCCAAAAGTAGCATAACTTTTAGATGACCATGCCAGTATTCCTGCTTGCCTTTTCAGCTGCAGCAAAGGCATCTATTTAGGCTTGTTTATTCATATTCAATAACAAAGTTTGAGATGTTGGCTTCACATTTTGAATGGGATGGCCTGACTATTTATTACATACTAATGCTTAGCTCAGATTATAATTGCTATGCAGCTTAGAGTATCATTGTGTTAAAAATATAGTGCATATATACAGTACAATCATTCGCCAGTCAGCAAACAATGACAACCCTAGAAAACATCTGGTTGAAACAGCCACGATGGACCACTTCAAGAAATTTGGGCAAATAATCAATAATGTGGAACAAAATAAGCCCACTGCATGCCTTGTGGCACCATTATTTGTCTTATGACAAAACTCGATGGATTAAAACAGAAAATGGTTAACTCTGGTTACCAATCATGTCTTGAATGCAGGTAAGGTAAGCAATTACTAGGTCCACAGGAGACTTACTGGCTTTTTCCTGCTCCCCAAAACAAAAAGCTAATACCTTTTGCATGGTCCGCTGGCAGTCACCGTCGTCCCACTCACCCCCCCCCCCCGCCCCCAACATAAATATCAATCATGCCCACCAACCTACGAAATTGAAAATGCGAAACAAGTAAGAGGTGTGCATGATATACATCCCCAGGGGCAAAGTTTCGCCATCAAACACTTCCGTATTTACTGCGTCAGGTCTGTCCCAAAGCTCTATATGACAGCATTAGGATAGCGTTCTCAGGTAGCCTGGTGAGTTAGACACCCGAAAGGCTTAGATTTATCATTATTGAGCACCGCCATGAACCAAGAAAACGGTTAACCGAGGGTTTAAGAGGATAAAAATGGCGGTAAAAAGAAGTTCCGTGCTTCAGATTGTCTCCCCTATTCCCTGTGAATTGGTCACTGTTGGGTGCATATCAAACATGTTTGGGCGGCTGGCGAATTAATCCACTTTATGTATCAAATACGCACAGGTTTACAGTTGGAGCATATTGCAGAGAAATTGGTCAACATTTTAAGCCACAGATGGCACCTCAAAAGGACAATCGGAAAGGAAGGAAGAATGAAGTGGTATCACACTGGTATGATACCAAGAAAAACAAAAGTAGTTAAATAAATATAAAGACTGATACTGTTCTAGCAAAATTTTGCAATCAGCTGATTTGACTTAAAATCTGTTGAGATGAGTGCTCAAATGGTGATATTCATCTTGTAAACTTAATCTAGAAGACATTTTTGAATTTTTTCCCTCCTGCATTTCGGGAGCGATGCAGTTTAGTAGTCAAGTTTCCTCGGGAAAAAAGAAATACGTGGAGTAAAATTATCTACCAAGCCTTGCTGGTGTTTGTCCCAGGCTCCGCTGGTGGCGTGGTGGTGAGACCAAAAAAATAAGGGATGCGTGAAAACCTTGCATTTGGCACACAGCTGCCGATTGTGATGGATTTTGTAAACAAACCAAACTTAATGCGTGCAAGCAGCTGCAGTCTTTTGGGTTATTGGGCTTGGAGGTGCCTGGTGTCCTTGCTCTCTGCATACATAGACATGATTCAGATGTGGGTGAGGCAGGACATAGCCATAGGTGTCCAGGTTCACATAAAATATGGGCAAAAGGAGTGAGAAATTCTTCCTCATAGGGCGTTGCTTTACACCCAAAGTCGGCATTTCTAGGACACTGGGCTGTGGTCGTTGTCCTGGGACGGGAAACTAGAGTTGATCCAATCGGCTCTGTGCGTCCGCCGCCCAGAGGCGCGCGGCGGTCGTCGCTTACCCGGGCCGGCTGGCCGTCGACACCCCACATCCCCGCAGCGGTCGCTCCTGCTGCCGCGGTGGCACTAGTGATACAAATGCCACCGAAAGGTTTGGGCCTGCGCGCCGGGTGCCACTAGTGTAGCAGTTACGTCGCCTGCGTTAACCACTGCACGTCTGAGAAACCATGAGAAACCATGAGAAACCACCAGATGTGATGTTTGATTTCCCGCGGTGCCCGTCCTTCCCACCAGGGTGAGAGGTTGGCGTTGCTATATAGCCCCAGCAGCTGAGCGCGTCCTAAAGCCCCAATGACACGCCCGTAATCCCGCGGAGCAAGGGAAGCGATGGCTCGGGTCGCAGTTTCAGCAAAACTGGACGGCGTTGACCACTGCAAGTGACGCTAGGAGGCGGGTGCTGAACGCGCAGCAATGATCACCGTAAAATAATGTTTCTGGATGTCTGGAAGCTAATGCGTGCAGTTCAAAGACGACACTGGGCGAATCTTTTTTACAGCCTTGAGGTTGTCCCTTAGACAGTTTAACAACTTCAGCAACGCGGAAAATGGAGATGTCATCTTACTCGTCCAGTTCCACCACCAGAATCCAGCACCACTTCACGATGCTGTAAAGACCAATTACGTCATTGCCATCAGTCGAAAACCCGCACGGGTGAAAAACGCCCGGAATATCTCTAAATGTACGAGTTGGGGCCCAAAGCGCTCAAAGGTACTCCTTTCAGATGCGTCACCATTTTCGTCCACCTGTTGGCCACGGCCTGATGTAGGCCGCGGGACAGACGTTGCGCGGCCTCGGCGGACGGCAACGCCTGGCGTCGAGTTTTGTTGTTTTTTGTTACTTAGATATGCGAGCGTGCATACTGAAGACTACGTTACATAATTTGTGCCACTTATCAATGCTGACTGAACGCGGAACAGGCCCAGACAAACATGGTTTGGTCATGCTGATCCAAATTATTGACTCATTTTTATCTTCAGTCTGTATTTCCGGAACCCTTGCTATCTCTGTGCAACCCAGATAAAAATTCCGACGAAATTTCTGGGTTCTCTCCGTTTGAAAGAGTCACTTTGCCATTGTAAAATGAAGGACGCGGACGCTTTTTTTCATGCAGTTATTTCACGCATGAATTTGTCAGTTTATTTATTGTAAACTTGGGGCAAAACGAATCACACGGTTGCAGCTGGCCTATATTCCGGTTAAAGAAGAAAGCATTTGGTAATGCATACATATATATCCATACATGTATGTATGTATTTATTCATATACGTATATATACATACATACATATATATATATATATATATATATATATATATATATATATATATATGTGTGTGTGTGTGGGTGGTGTGTGTGTGTGTGTGTGTGTGTGTGTGTGTGTGTGTGTGTGTGTGTGTGTGTGTGTGTGTGTGTGTGTGTGTGTGTGTGTGTGTGTGTGTGTGTGTGTGTGTGTGTGTGTGTGTGTGTGTGTATGTAGATGTATATGAGTTAACCTCGTCCTCAATAAAAAATGGGCCATATCCGGCGATTGTTTCAACGGGGGGTCTTTTACTATCAGAGGGCCCTTCGTCAGCTCTGTGCCCCCTTGGCAAAGCTTTGGCTGTGCCCTTGCTGTCGGACATAAAATTCACGCACTCAAAAAACGTGCCCACTTGTCAGTATCGGTAAAAATGTTATGCATGCACATTTGCATTCGTATTATGGAACTCGTCGGTAACTACCCACACCGACAAGTGGACATGATTTTTTGAGCGCGCAAATTGAATGTTTGACAGTGATGTTGTCTATACTCACCCGGGAGAAAGCCCAGGGCCGAAATTTTTTAGACATAATTGGCATCATGACGTTGTGGTGTGTCAATACCCTGCTATGCCCGTTTGATTTGGAGTCTCGAACCAGCACTCCGTCATATGAAATCAGACTATTTCATGCGTCGCATTATTCATGACGAAACCGTTCAGGCCATGTAATAATGAACGACAGTAAACCACACAAACCATCCCCTTACACTGCTCAGGACACAGGATGCTAATTTGACAAGTTGATCTGGCACATGAAGCAGATTTTCGCGTCACAGGATCTATCATTCCATTTCAAGGTGTGGGTGCTTCGCCCGTAGATCTCCACACAGTTCTCGGCACCGCCACTGTTGTTGGGTTCCGAGGGGCTCCAGTTCGTGTGGTCCAGTTCCGTGCCGTCGCTCCAGCCCCAGCCATTTTCGGCCGTTCGACTCAGACCTATCCAAATATAGCCACAGTCACTGGCGGCCACCACCGCGGTCACGTGTTGCTTGTTCCGCTCGTGCACGGACACCAGCCGGGCCGAGGGGTCCATGAGAGAGCAGGCGCGGTGGGCCCGGTACCAGGTGGTTGTCTCGGGAGGGATCAGGTAGCATCTGTCGCCTCTGTGACTCCAGCCGTTTGGACAGCGCTGTGTGGTAGCGCCCAGCACAGTCAGCCGCTCCTGGATAACCCGCTGGCCGCTGCTGAGCGCCGCGATGCTCGACAACAGGGCGTTGTGATTGTTTCGGAGCTCGGAGAGGTCGGCCCGCAAAATCTCGATCGCCTGTCCCTGAGACGTCCTCATTGCGCTGTGGTCCGCCTGAAGGCTGCTGTACGACCTGCCGTAGCTCCAGGACCGCCCTCCTGGCCCGTCTGCAGAGTGCCGAGCTGCTGGTGCAGTGAGACAGCTCCCGCTGTCCGTCCAACACATGCCGCATATCTGCCGTGATGTTTGTGGCGAGCTCCGACCCGCGGAGCACGTCCGCGCCGAGGTCGTTGATCCTGGCGTTGAGCTGCTCTAGATGCGGTGCGATCACCGCGCCAACCCCCGTCTCCACGAGCCGCTGGAGTCCGTCCAGCGCCGCGTCCCAGTCTGGTCGCATCGTGTCCGACGGCAGGCTTTCGACGCGTTGCTTCCGGTGTTTCAACACCTCCATCAAAAGAAGAGACCGACATGCCCTCCCGGTTTCCGCTCGGCTCTCCATCGCCGTTGACATCAGAGACGCGTTCCAGCTCCACGGCTTCGTGCGGTTCCAGACCATCTCCACTGCTAGACTGTCCTCCTCCCGACCCCCGCTCGACTCTTCGTCGCCGCTAACATCAGAGATGTGTCCCAGCTCCACGGCTTCGTGCGGTTCCAGGCCATCTCCACTGCCAAACATGTCCTCCCGACCCCCCGCTCGACTCTTCGTCGCCGCTGACATCAGAGACGCGTTCCAACTCCACAGTTTCGTGCGTGTTCCAGGCCATCTCCACTGCCAGAGGCCCTCTCATCTCCCTGTCCCCACTGTACTCCATGGCAAGCTCTAAGCCCTGCTGCTGCGCAGACTCACCCGACCGCCGCCGGAGCCGGCCGCGGTGGCCAGTGAGACCGCCAGCGCCGCGGCAAAACACAGCTCGCCAGCTGCAGGTGGCGTCTTCATGGCGCCCTCAGCCACGACTGGTAGCCCCGGGTTGCCGCGCGCCGCCGCGGACGCGATGTCCGGCTCCCGGCTGGTGATGCCGCCCCCGCCACCCTCAGCGACCGCGGCTATCGGCGGAGCAGAGCAACAACAGGCACTGGTTTGCTCGGCCCTTCCGCTGCCGGAAGGGCGCGCTGCACAGGCGGATGTTGAATGTCTGCGGTCGTTTGCCCGAGTACATGAAGCACGGTAGTGTGGTTTGGACGTGTTGACGCGGGTACCTATAGGATATTTTGCGAGTGCAGTGAGCAGGATGCAGTTTCGCAAAATCAGTCGAGAGTCTCAACTCCGTGCTATCATCCTAGGTTATCCCAAAATGCGTATTTTTGCCGGGAATGGTTTTTTATTTTGCCGTTTTTCCAACGTTGAAGCATGTATTTCCATTCGTCGCTTGCTTTTCAGTTTCTTTTCTTGGTATGATGGACCTCGGGGAGATGGAAGACGGAAATAGGAAAGTAATCTATGCGTATAATATCGGATTTTCCACGTTATTTTCCGTACCGTTTGCGCTTGCGCTTCTCGTAGGCTGTCATGATCGCACTTCCTCAGGTTTGGAGGGCTGCCTCCGCAGGACAGCTCAAATGCAAGTTGGTGGTGGGGACATATGTTGGAGATTGCTCAGCTGCAAATTGAGGCAGCTCGGACCAGTTCCCAAAGCAATGCAATGTTGCGTTCCCGACAAAAAATTTTGACGATGGGTCACACCAAGACTACGCCACGTCATGTACGCAAGAACAGGTGGCCGAGTGGGGCCGCGCTCACACCTGCATTTCCTAAAAAAATAATATCAGCCTTATGGATGCCCGGACCCAAAGCATTGGAGGGCGGTGAAACTAAGTTCTTCGTGCTATATTTTTTCTCAAATTACATAAAAACCAAAAGGCCTTTGCAAACGGGTTCCTCTGCATCAACTATGAATAGAACATGATTAACGGCTAACTTGACTTGCCTGGCTAACAGCCTGGCAAAGTTACATAGAGTCCCGGTCACCGTGATCGCCGGCTGGCCACGTTGACGGTCGAGTGCTCCCAGTGCAGCAGGGCAGGCACCGGATGGAGATAGGCGTGCACCGAGCAAGGTCTCTTTGCAAAGTTTCGTGGAAAAGGGCTTGCCACTGAAGTGGGCCCTTCCCTCAGCCCGACTTAAGGCCCCACGCCTCCACGCAAGTACCCACCCAGCGGAAGACTGGTGCCGTAGCCGCGCGGAAGGACGTGACGGCCCGGACGCATAGCCGGGAACGGTAACCACTTCACGCGTCAGAGGCTTCAGACCTGGGTAGTGGTACGTGCAAACGTCCTTCTTGGTCAGAGTGACTGCGTCAGGAGATCAATATCAACAAGTTCGCAAGCTGCCTTACTTTTAATATTGATTTGACATGGGATCACTTCGCCTTGTTTGATCCTGGCTCTCAGCAACACGACGTTATAGATAGCAGTGGTTCTCACATAAATACACTGACACACACACCACATCACACACACACACACACACACACACATTATATATATATATATATATATCTATATATATATATATATACATACTTAGTTATATATATGAATCACCGAGCCGAGCACAGCGGTCCGTCTCATTAGCTCATGTTGGGTTTGACTTGAATGGTGGTTGGTGCGTTAAAATGTGTTTTCAACGGTGCTTCGCTCAGGGACGCATGAAGCTCGCTAAAGCCCAAACAGTAACCATGTCATTTCCAAGAGGGACACAATTCAAGGTGTTGACAGTCCCTTAATTATATATATATATATATAATATATATATAATATATATATATATATATATATATATATGTGTGTGGTGTGTGTGGTGTGTGTGTGCGTGCGTATGTGTGTGTGCATACTCATATTTATAAATCTGCCCCTTAAGATGGATAAATAGATATACATAGCTTATTAATTGTGTCTTGATAACTACCACCAAGATAAATTTCCATTGGGCATGACGATGGTATGACATTCAGTACTGGACGATTTGAGCGTTGTAAAACGTCTTAGATCCTTGGATCCACGTATAAATATAATTTACCTGAGGTGATAGATTATCAGGTGAAACTGAAGTTCCTATGCGCTAGTGCTGAAGTTAGCTGTGCAAACAAAGCCGTGTTTTCACTAACTGAACCATGCGATACGGCTCGGTATCTGAAACAGGTAGATAGTAGCGACCCCTATACTAACAGACGACAGCCAGCGCCCTCTAAGATTTCCCTGAAGCTTCGCATTACGTCCGAAAGGTGCCGCGTCGATCAGGCCGGCGCGGCGTCGCTCCACCTCGCAAATGCATTGATGCTGACCCCCGCCTCGCCAGGGCTGCCACAGACCGCTAAGGGTCGGGTGACGGCTGGTTTATCCAAGCAGCACTCGCCGGAAGCAGCTGGTTGCGACACCAGAAATGGCAGCGCGGCGGC